ATCCTCACCGGTGTATATCTCCTTTTCCATGACTGCTGCCTTTATTACCGTCCTTTGGACTTTACATTAAACTCTCTGTGTCATTTATCAGTAGCTGTCCATCGATTGGCTGATTCCTTCTGAACCGCGATTTTTGATGGATAACAAAGCAAATATTGGTTTAGCTGGTTGTCTTTCAAATGTTTTTAAGCTGGTGAGTGTTGGCAATAGTATTATTTGATAGTTTCAGGTTCTTTTTACCCTTTTTCATCATAATGTGCTAGTCTTGAATGTGGTGTGTTTCTAAATAAAGCCCATGTACATGTACACAGTTTTAGGGTGTATTTTTGATGATTCATTTATTTTTGACATTTAGGCAGAGGTTGAAGGATTGAAGTGGGTTCGATATGTTGGACCAAATAGTTCATCACTTGAAACACCTAAAGTTGATCCAGTTTTGACATCTTATGCCAAGCTATTGAGTGAAGGGTAGGTATACATGTACTTTTTTCACTAACGAGTGATATATCTGTTATACTTATACATATAGATATGCTTGTTCATGGAGTAGGTTGTCTCCTTCTACTGATGGAGTAAGCGGAGAAGGGAAAGACCTTTGGGTCTTTTATTTTACTACATTACCGGATCTGTCACAGGAGCTGGCTCCTGATTTACGAGGTATTATTTTGTACTACTTTGTACATGTATTTACCAGAATCAATTAATCTTTTTTTAGAAGAGAGTCGTGGCTCATGGGAGAATGGTACTGGAATGTCAACAGAATCAAGTGCTATGCTCTTTCGAGCTTTAAATGGTCTTATAGAAAGGTTGGCTTGCATTATATGTTTGTATTTTACTGTGCACATGCAATGACTACATGTACATTTAGGTCTTTATTAACCGAGAATTTTCTTCCTCTTGGGAAATGGTTTGCACGTCCTGATCCTTCAATGGGTTCTGACGGAAGGTATGACAAGAGTCTATTATGATATTATCATATTGTCCTCCTGGTTATGTGGACACAATCAGTTATACCGTAATTGAATGTGATAATAATAGTGGAGGTATAATGAAGTTTTGACCTAATAATGGTATGCCAGTTTAATTTTTATGACTGTAGCATATAGAGCTCAGGTTGCACATTATTCTTTATTTACATATATGTTTTTTTGTGTTCACTTAAAACTTGTGAGTGAGCCTGAGTGAACCTTAGGATTTTGTTTGTGTCTGTGAAGTGCAATACATGTGCAGTACCTCAATCTATTTCGTTATGCGGTTGAGCCATATATTTCATTTATGTGGTGTGATTGCATTACATGTAGTTACTATCAAAGAGGAACATTTTTTGAGTTTCTATAAATGTATAGTTATTAGTTATGACAGCAAAGAGTAAGGAGAAAAGTGATACATGTCTGTTATATGCAGTTGCTATCAGAGCTAGTCAATGAAATAGAATTCAAAAAGAAATTTTACGGGGATGACCACTTAGCCATGAAGTTTCCCTTGTGCAATAACTGCTTTTATAGTGCCTGCTTTGCAATGCAAAACTGAACACACTGTTATGCATGTAATATGATAACCATACTACTTTGCTTGCTGGGGCTCGCCCCTTAAATGTTGCACATGTGCATTTATGTGGATTTTATTTTTGATTATAGGGGTTGTTTCCTTTGCAATTTTTCATTTTTTATTTATGCTCATTTGTACATATGTGCAAGTGTTGATGTGAGGGCTGGTCCTGCTCTTCAGCCACTGTTACAAAGCCACCTTCATCAAGCATTAGCTTCATCATCTGGGATGCAAGGTATACTATTGTCTAATTGAACTTTATTTACGTATGGTGCAATATTTTTTAGTTATTCTGAGCCCAAGTGGTCTTAATGCTATTATGACAGGGCACAGCTATCAAATAACTGATCCTGGTATTGAGGAGTTGCTGGATGAATGGAAGTTGTTCTACCCACTACGTTTTACAGCAGAGTCATTGTCTCAGCTACCTGCTGCTGTTGAAGTAGTTTTGGGTGGAGTTCGGTTGCGATATCCTTCTCAATTTGTTTTTGTGTATCATTCAGAGGGCTCATTCCCTACTCCTCCTCCTTCTCCTATTGATGAAGGTATGACAGAGAGAGTCATTCAAGGTGGATGGGAAGAAACCACTTGTGTTGATCCATTAGTGTAAGTTCATACATGTAATTCATTTCATATAATAATTGTTTTGTTCTTGTACGTTGAGTACAGAACTTTAGTCATAATTGTACTATTGCTATAAAAATACACAGATGTACATGTATACATGTACACTGTACATGTAGGCTTTTTTGATTACTTGAAACTCGATTAATATTTTGTATGGAATCATTCAATAAAATTTGGCTATGATCATGTGTATTAATTGTCAATGTTTGTATAGTAATTCTTGTGCATCATGTTGTTACTTGTATGTAGTATTGATTGTTTGCAAATGACATTCAACTTTTAACCAAGCTGCATGTACATGTACATGTACATACATGTATCTTAACTCATTTCTATTGCAATTTTAAAGTAGGTTGTTGTGAAATCATGAACTTGCATGTGCATTGTACGTGTATGTACATGTACAGTACATGTTGTATATAATGTACTTACAGTACATCCATGCTTCATTTAATCTTAAGATGAAGTAATTTAGGGTGCAAGCTTTTTTAATTGTACCACATATGTACTTGCACTCTTGGTTTGATACTGTGCTGAAAAGTGTTCAAAGGTGCTATTTTTATTTAGTGTCCAAAAGGATTGTGAGAGTTGTAGCTGTACATATCATGCCTATCATCGTGAATCTCATTCTAATGTTTCTAAGCCAAGCCGTCCTCATCGTTTGATGTCTAATAGTGGTGATTCCATTAAAAATGAACGCTCTTCGAAACCACATCGTTATCGACCTTATTCTGGCCCTCACCCAACGGATAATGCTACGCCTATGAGAGAGCAACCTGTCCCTTCATCACTTAATTTAAGTACATCAGTATTAAGCACAACCACCAAACGCCCTGGCCCACCAAGATATGCTACACCTCTCCCTTCTCCAGCTGTTACTTTGCCTCATTCTCCTGCTCTTAAAGCTCCCATGTTCCCAAATCCACATTTCCCTGTATCTTCTGCTCATGTACAAAGCACCCCTCCTCCTCCTGCTCCCTGTCCTGCCTCAACAGGGCCACCCTCATCTCTTCCTTCCAACGCTTACAACATATCCCAAGTTGCTGATCTTATTATGGCATCGTCCAATGAGAAAGAACAAATATCTTCGTCATACAACTTGAGAGACACCGGATGGTGGCAATGCTTGTATCTTCCAGATAGTTTGTCATCGATGCAGAGATTAGTCTCTCCAACATCACCGTGGGCAACTGGGTTTACTCTGTTACCCAATGCTCCACATGGCATTCCTGGTTCACCAAATGTAGTTGGAGGAGATCCTACTAGAAGCACAAAGTCAGTTCCTGATGCATGTTCCACACTTACATGTAGTACTTTTAGAAGGGTCAAGAGTAGCGAGAGTCAGTTCCCAGACATGCATTCTCCCTCCAAGAGAAAACCGGGGAACCAAATAAAAGTGAATTCTCAGATTGAAGCATCTTTGTTGGACCCACATCATCCTTTTCAGGTAAATTGTTCTCATGAACAAGCAGTAAGTTCATGATCTATTTTATGCATACATGTGCATTGCATATACACATATTTAGGATGAAACAATAGATAAAAATATAGATGCTTACAATTCAACAACTGGCACTACTGGTAAAGATCCATTTATGATGGTGCAGCAGCAACTGGAAGCTGATGATGGTTTAAGTATGTGAACTATTTCAGTTGGTACAAATACTTGTATTTTTTGTATCATTTGCAGGTAGCAGTACTATTCACAAACCTGGTGGTGGTAACTTCGATTTGACAAGTGAGAGTGCTGTTAAAATATCCGGGGACTTGGGTGAATTATTCGATGATTCTGAAGAAGAGGATGAAATACCAAAAATGGTTAGATATTAAGTTAATTTTATATATTTACTGCTTGCACATGTATAGACATCTACTGGAGAAATGAATCTTTTTTCATATCCACCTATTGATAACAATAGAAATAGCAAGATGAATAAGGTAAGCTTAAATTGAGTTTCCCTTGTTCAATATTTCGATTATGTAGATGAATCATGGTGAATGTCATCCACTACCTGACCTCTCACACATATACCCTACACCACCTTCTGTTGAATCTACTGATGACAAATTTGATGAAGGAAAGTGCTTTGATGAAAGGAACGAAATTGTCGAAGCTAACTTGATGATTGTATGTCACTATGTTGATTGCCACATTTGATATAATGCTAATCTTATGTACATTGTATAGAAATTGTGTCCTTTTGATGATGTTGTCATGGATATTATTCCTGATGACTTCAAGCCATTGACTGGAGTCTGCAACACAACTGTTAATCAGCAAATGAAGAACTGTGTTTACATTAAAGCTCCATCTGTAAGTAACCATTTATTTTTTCTGTTTTGTCATAACTATCAATGATAGAGTCCTATTAATAATGCACAACAAGAAAAGTCTGTATCATCTTCAAACAGGTAGGGTTCCTCCTTTTTATTCATGTGCTGTGTATATGTAAAGTGCACTTTTATGAGTTTCTTTTTGAAGTATATTAATTATGCGATAATTTAAATGATTTTATTGGCATTTTCTATTGCCTTGGGGATGTATATGAGTGTACAAATTGATTAGTCAGACTTAAATGTGAGCTTCCAAGACATGTTTTCTGATTGGATTGGAAGGAATTTTTGGTAGCTAGTCTTAGTGTACACTGTACATCTATAAACATTTGCCCTATACAATTTTATTAATTTTCTACACACTGTAGAGCTAATTCTGAACCTCAGAAATTCATTTTTCCCCCACCATCATCTTTGATTCGCAATACATGTACATTGTCTCTTCCACTGTCATCACGAGATCAAACCATGTCACCACTGCTGTCTACTCCTTTCACTGCCTTACCATCAGCATCTCCCAGTGTTAGAGGCGGTGGTGTCTCAGGAAGATTACCAAAGAGATTCTCATCAGTAGCCCAA